TAAGACCATGGGTTCCTTTAAATCAGAGCTAGATAAGATTTTAACAACTCTGAGCTATTAGTTAAGTTCTCCCCAAATGAGCTTGATGGGCCGAATGGCCTCCTCTCGTTTGTAAATTTCTTATGTTCTTATGTTCTTAATAACTAAAAGATCTTCTACCACCATCTCCACCCACACACTCATCCTCACCCTCTGTATTTACCTTCACTCCATCTTTTTCTCTTTCAAACTACCTTTCCATGAATATTTACCCCATTTGACATGGTTGTCCGCTACTTTCTGTTTAATTTCTCTTTGTAAATAATTGTGAGGATTTGGATGGCTCTGTTTTAAAAGCTTGTTTGCCAGACCTGCTTATTTCAATTTCAGACTGACAAAACGGGGGCTAAAGGCAGACCTTTCCTAAGGACTCAGCATAAATTAATTTGTTCCAGCTCCAGCTAATTAACAGTATGCAAACTTCACTCGTTCTGAATGTTGGAAATTGCGGTTTATTGGCCTCCAATGAGATACAGGGCAGGAATCTCTGTTAGTAATTCCAAAGGTGCTTGTTCCTGTCTGAATTTCTCTTTTCTTGTAAGCTGCAGTAGTACTGACTCTTTTTAGAAGTGAAAAGTGGAACTAATTCTACCCCATGGCCCGAAACCGACCCCAATTCTTTGTGTCTTGTTTTTTCTTGTAGGGCCGCCTTCCGCATCCTGAAAGAATTCAGTATTTTTTTTTACCCTTTTTTGCAAAAGCTGTTTAATAATCTTCCTCTGTGACTGTCTAATCTTAGTGGGTGGGGAGGGTTGTTGGTGGGGGTGAGCAGAGTCCAGATTGTGGGCGGGGTTCGGCACGGCTGCCCCAAGGCCACCGATCCTGATGCTCCGTTCTGGAGATCCCAGCAGAGCGATGGTCTCATATCGGCAAAGAAACTGTGATGCTCTGTGGAATTCTCCGCAGCCCTCCTGTTCTCTTGTTCTGTTCCTGACCACTGAGTAGTTATTAAAAATGTGCACCATGGCAGAATAAAGACTTTGCGGCAGATTAATGCCGCGTTTCACAACAAACTGCCCTGTGACACTGTCTCGCAATGCTGAGGTGTGTGACAGACAATGACAGCCGGAAAGACAAAATCACACTTAGCAGCTGTCATCCTCAAAAAAAAAATACTTATTTTAATTCAAATGCTTGTTCTTCTATAAAACATTGTCAGACCTCATACAACGCTGTAAGTAAAGGCTTTCTTTTAATGCATGTTCTACTATGCTTTCATCTGAATATTGTCCATATAGAGGTGTAACCAATTTGAAATTTGTAATAGATAAATCAATAGGAGCTCATGATATACTAGAACAATTCAATCCAGAACAAATGCAACTCATTGTATATGTTTTATTAAAATGATATTCCATTATCAGTACTTGTTGACTTAGCCTTGTTGACTTAGCCTTGCTTACTGATGTCCGCAGTTATCTTGTTTTGACAGGGACCGCTTTCAGCCATTAGAGGTCACAGTGCAGTGACATCAGCAAGCAGTTCTAGTCCTACAAGATACCACAGAACTGTTCATGTTCTATTCTCCCCTGTCATCCGTCCAGAGTGAAAGTACTTTCTCTCTGCATTTTATTCTAGACTTAAAATCCTGGCCCGGTTTTTTAAGTCTAATGGGAAATCCACTCTCTCACTGCTATACCAGGAGCTCATGTGTCAAACATATGTGTTCACAAATATGCGTGCACACTCTGGTATTGAATCATAAATTTCCTAAATGCCGCTGCGAAGGCTGACGCCCACCAGGGGGCACTGTGCCGCTATGAATGATGATCAAACATGCAGCCACATACGTGTCCCTTATTGCTTTCTCAGGAAGAACAGCAATTACATGCGTTCTGGGTTTGCTGTGATGCCAGGTTTCACAAAACGGTCGTTTACTACCTTTCTCTTAATAACCTTCAGCTGTTCTCATGGGCACCATCAATGCAGTCCCTGTTGATGTGACGCTTTTAAAAATTGCATTCATTCCCCTTCAGAGGATCTTCATTTTAAAGGTCATTACAGTGGGCCTGACTGCCAGAAGGTGCATACTGACTTAATTAGGAAGTGAGTAACATTTGAAGTAAAGATGACCTGTGGTATCAATGAGGAGCTGTAACGTGCGGAGGGGTTTCGGGTGCTTGTGGGGGGTTCAGTGTGTGACGTTCAGGATGACTGTCATTTTCATCCTGCTGATTTAAATCCCGTTTGTGTGTGCATGCTTGCAATTGCTGTTATACTCAATGGTTAATGAAGGAAAAAAAACATCATTAGTGAATTAAACTAGAAAGGAGATTCTAAGTGAGTTTTAGAGTGCTCGTCATTGTGGTAATACCACAGTATTATGTAAGAAAATTAAATGTGACTTTCGTTGCTGTTTTCATTAGATTTAAAGTCGCCATTTCAGAGCAGCATCATTCCCTTGCTTCCCCATGATTGCTGGTTCAGGCTTGGTCTGTCTGGTCTGAGTTGGAGTCCCCCAAACATATTGGTTTCCTGATGCAGTTTGAATGAAACCTCAGATCTGAACCAGGTGTGTTCAGGTTCTCTGTGACACCTCAAATCCTGCACTTGTCCCATCACTCATTACTGATGAGTAGCCACAGAAAATAGATGGGCAGGTTTTCCTCTCTGAATTAATTGCACAATGATACGGGTGCAAGTGGCTGTATAAATGACACCCTGCGTGCAACAATGAATGTGAAACATCTGTGGTTCGTCTGGTAAACGGCTCCTGTGAGGAGCCAGGCATTTAGAGAAGAACAACGTGGATGAAGGCAAGGCTGTCAAGTCCTCAAAACAAGCATTTTCGTTCTGCGCTTCAACTTCTGACGTACCCTGTATTTACGCCTGGTTTCGGGCGAAAGTGTTGGAGCTTGTCAGAGGAAAGAAAGCGGCGATAAACAGAGAGGAAAATAGAGAATTAACGAAGAGGGGGCGGCCCGGACAGCGACTAAAGACAGAGGGAATCAGGGCAATGATGAGACAGCGAGGAAGTGAATTCTAGAGGGAAAAGGAGAAGAGTTATGACAAGACGAAAAGGACTGATTCAAAACAAAATGGTGAACAAAACACTCTAAAAGGAAAGAGGGGGTGCTGTGAGGGAAGCTGGGACACGGACACACACACACACACACACACGCACACGCGCATGCACCCACAACGAGCAGACTGGCACACCGATAGAGGGAGGGAGGGAGAGAGAGAGAGAGAGGGAGAGAGCAGTCATTCCAGTAGCCTTTCATCTGCCTTCAAAAGACGGTGGAATAGCAGCAGAGGGAGATGATATGAGTGACAACGTGATGAGAGGCAGTGGGGAGAGAGACTAGCGAGGAAGTCCAAGAAAAAAGCGAGAGGACCAGCCTTGGACATCCCAGGTCCCCCCACCCCTCATCGCCCCCCAACCTACTGCAAGGAACGCCCGAATACAACGAGCGGATAAAAGAAAGCAGGAGTGTGTCAGAAAGACAGAGACTGTTGAATGTGCGTGGATACTACACGGAGGACGAGAGGGACGTCTGAGTCCATAGCGAGAGACGGAGACGGAAAGAAACAGAGGGAGAGGAGGACATTTCTAGGTCTGTCTTATCAAACTGCAGTTTTCTGAGGAAGGAGAGACCACAGCATGAAAGTGAGAAGTTCAAAGTAGGATGAGAATCAGGAGGACTGAAGGGGAACTCCTTCAATGTGCTAATTTTCAGATGCCGTTTTTTAAAAAGAGAGACATAGGGCTCAATATATCTGTCAGGAAAACACAATCAGAACAAAAACAGGAATTCATTTTCCTCCAAAGCATATGGTCCCTCCCTCCCATCTTCATCCGTCGCTTACACCGTGTTTACAAAAGTGACAGATCAGGCAGTGGATGGAAGCGACTGCAGGAGAGAAAGTGAGAGGGGGAGAGAGAGAAAAAAAGAAGAGGAGAAATGTTCTGGATGGTGTTAAATGCTATTTGAAGAGAGTGTAAAACGGCTCACTGGCTTAGTCTGGCAAAAATACAGGTACATTTATATTAACATTAACTCTGTAATACAATAATCATATATTGTTAGCATCACCTCATGCAGAGCTGTGAAACAATGTAGGTATTAGCCAATAAGTCGCTTGACATTGTGGAGCATTAACATTATTATTATTATTATTATTGTTATTATTATTGTATCTGCAGCTATGTATAACATTAGTGAAAAATCTTTAAACTCCCAGAATAATGAAAAAGTGATTTCAAGCTAATGGCGTGTCTAAAGTAATTATGAATGAATATTACTCATGTGATTACTATTGATTTTCCTTATGGATCTGTGCTATAATAATGCAGCACCATTACAATGCAATCATTTTCCTGATTTTTTTTTAAATTTTACTTTTAATCATAATCTGTGTTCTGACAGGCGACTTTAACGGTGAAATTTTTCATTTAGTCAAACACAAAGTTTCTGCAATTTTTATTTAATATATTTGAACGCATAATTTTATGTCAAAAATTAGTTTTGCCTCTAACCCTTATTTAGCTGTTTATGAGAAAGAAACGCAACTTTACGAAATGATAAAGCGGGGGAAACGCTGGGCGTGACGAAGTAACTGTGATGCGTAGAGACGGAGAAAGTTAAGAGCGAAAAAGGGATAAAAGGCGATTAAGGACAAAAGCAAATAAAAAGAGCATCATATAAACACCCTGAAAGGCGACGAAGTGCGTGACACGGCGAGTGAAAGAGCCGCGAAAGGACGAGAACCCATCACTACTCCTTCGTTTCTCTCTGTCCTTCTGCAAGACGACGAGTGGTAAAGAGACAGAAACGCCAGGAAGAGCATAAAGCGAGCGGAGGGAGGAGGCGCGCCGGGGGGCCGAGAGCGACGCCGCCGCCCGGGGGAGCGGCAGCGCGTCGCCATGGCGTTCACCTTCGCCGCTTTCTGCTACATGCTCACGCTGGTGCTCTGCGCTGCTCTCATCTTCATCGTCATCTGGCACGTGAGTGCTGCTCTCGTTCGGCCCCCGACACGCATGCACGCGGGTGTGCTTACCTGCACGCGTACGGACACGTATGTACGCATAGGTACGTACACCCTTACACACCTCCCCGTTGTGGAAAGTTATAACCTCGGTTGGCAGGTGTTTAAAGTTATTATTTAAATGAGACTTTCATTTGATTGAGTGGAGAGGAAATAACACATTTCCAACTGGGCATTTTACTTAGATACTGACCAGGTGTCTAAAGATTCTTAAAAATCTGTATAAATGTATAAATACAGAAAAGGGCCTACAAATAATAAAGCTTGAAGCCATTACATGTTTTATCTATTGTATTACTATGAAAAGCACAAAAAAATCTTCATTTACATTTACATTTTGCACTTTTAAGCAGACACTTTTGTCCAAAGCAGCATACAAGTGAGGCATTTGCACACTACAGCAAGTGTGTACAGCACATTACAACATGCATGCTGTCAAAAAGTCGACTAGGATTTAGCACAGCCAGGCTGAGCTTCCAGTGAATGCCCAGGTACAAGTGAATGCCCAAGGTACAAGTGAATGCCCAAGGTACAAATACTGATTGCATGGGGAGAAAATGATGGCAGGTAAAAAGACCCCAAGGTCAACTGTGGAGGAGGATGTAATAGCGTCATGAACACAATGGGAAGCTTCTCCTGGCCACTTTCTATTCATTGGGCATCGGTCCAAATGCCGCGACGACAAACATGGTGAGACACTTAAAACCAGAAACTCAGGCATTTGAGAAGTATAATTTCTGTTCTGGTAATACTGTATTGATGGGTCACAAATACTTAGTAGTACCTCTGTTACTACTGAAGTGTAAATCATGAACAAATATAGTCGCAACTTGAGATAAAGATGTGTCACGATTCATTAATGATGAACAAACATGAGATCAGTATTTCACTTGTTATTCATGGATTTTTTTCTTCAGTAGTTCCTTCAGTGATTCACAAAGATTTACAGAAATAACAGATATAGTAACAAATGTAGTAACTGCTTGAGATACAACATGCATCATTATTCATTAATGATAAATTATCATAAGATCAGTATGTGACTAAGACTTAGTTTGTGGTTAATACATAAGTAATAGTATAACACTATATTATTTGTGCCCCAACTAAAGTGTTGTCTGTGTTCTTTAATAGCAAACTAAAATCACCTTGTAAAGCAAGAGAGCTCCCTCAGTGAAATGTAACAGGGTGCAAAGAAATTAATAACAAAATGAGTAATGGAATTTAATAAGCGCCATGGTGATGGACTGACGCAATGGTGTGTGTCAGTGAAGCATAAAGAGGTTTCAAGGCATTTTAAGACGGAGCCTTGGCAAAGTGAGGCGGACAGGCTGCAAATCTAAGTTCACATCATCAGCATATGAGCAATGATGAAGTGGGTGTTTTTGTCAATGTATGTTATCCAACGATAATGAAAATAAGACTTAGGACTTGTATGGGACTGTATGATTAGTACAATCAATTCATTGATTGATATTCAACACAAACATACGATGACTCCCTTGGCCAGCTGCAGATTCCTTATACTGGAATGGCTTTTAGACTAGAATCATGGCTTTTTATGGCTCAGTCTCCATTGACGCTGTAAGGTCTTAGGACATCAGACAATTTTTCAGTGTTTTTTTAAGCACAAATAGAATGCATGAAGCATGTTTCCTCTTAAAAAGACATATCTGCATGGAAATAGTCACAGTTTGCAAGCTAATAACTCACAAAATACTTTCTGCAAGCAGCTGCATAATGCAGGAATATCTGCACAGTCATTGTTAGGCACCATGAGTTTGTGTGAACATAACTCAGCCTAATCAAGAGATAAACATAATGGTTCCTCCACTGTGAAGCTCTTGTGCAATAGGACTGCGTGTTCGCTTCATAGTTACCATGGCACCTGCTTAAGTGCTCATCTGGTCACTATGGCAACCGCATCTGTTTACACCATGAGAGCGATGGAGAAAGAGAGCAGAAGTATACAGTAAAGTGATGCGAGTGAATGAGGAATATGTAAAAGAAATGGACAGATTTGTAATAATACGTAGCCCCGTGAAACAGAATTCCAGAAACCTGTGGGGAGATTCGCTGTTCATGGAATGAAAAAGTGGCGTATTGCCTGAAATCCATCCTATTCTTCTCTGCTTGGAATGGCCATGTTTCACCAATGTGCTGTCATTTAGAAGTTATTTATAGTTTTTTTTATTGGATTTCAATCATTATGGCACCCTGAAAACAGATAAACTTTTAATTATGGTGGTACTAAGTGAGATAAACAAATGTACACAAAAGTCAAGTGCGAATTCTGCGCCAGATTAGCTGCCAGGCCAAAGATGGTGGCAGCATTAGCATCTCTGTGACAGCCGGTCACGAGGAATGAGAGACCGTGGGGCGGTACTTCCTAATATTCCAGAGGGACGTTCTTTGGTGTCTCCATGCCAGTGGTGCCCTGGCGTGTGATGGCGGCAAAGAGCAGAACTGGCTGATCAAATCAGCACAAAACCGTTGTCGTCTTAAATCCGGGACAGGCAGCATCAGAACAATGCAGTGTTAGAACTGGAAAACATTAGTCATCCACAATTTTACCTAAGTGAGAAAAACAAAGGCTGCACACTGTCAGGAAGATATTAACCGTGATACGCCAACCCTTCTGCATTATCATTCTGGAAATATATGACTTTGTAGTAATGGAATTAGCTTAACCCTCTGGGGGTTGGCATGCCTGCTTCTCACAGGGCGAACCGTTTGATTAATTCCTTGTATCAGTGAACTGCTGGGCTGCTCTTTCTCTTTCTGTAGATTATTGCCTTTGACGATCTCCGGCAAGACTTCAAGAATCCCATCGACCAGAGCAACCCCACCAGAGCAGTAAGGCTATTGTCCTTTCTCCCTGGTCCTCATTAACACTGTTCTACATTGTCTGCTTGATGGGCACGCGCCAACCAAATCACTGTAAATCAGATTATCGGAACATAAATTACATTTCATTAGCACAGGTGTACCCATGGATCGTGAGTTTTGAAGCTATAAATAGATTTCACATCTAAATCAGTAGCATCTGTTATTATTTAGCCCGAGGCAAATGAATTCAAAGCTACATGGAGTGATATTAGTTATACACCGCAAACTACCAGAGTCAGAGCTGACATTTATTAGCATACAGGATTCAGAATTATCATTGAAACTCTGTTACAAAGATTATATGGTAATGCATTTTTACGTTACATTTTTTTTAATTTGTAGTATCTGATTAGTTACAATTTGCTTTTCAACCATAGTTGTTTTAGCTAACCACTCACTAATATGACTGAAAATACTCGTCCTTTAAAAATAGTGTTGTCTCATAGAGTTCATTTAACAGAATGCTTTTATAATAATTACCATAAAAAAGACAATTTTACATGGTAAATGACTGGATAACATGAACAATATCTACCGAAGAGAGTGATTATTAAGTACTATTTAGTTCTCAAAACTCTCAGCTTATCTTTTCCTTCTTTATTTAGAGGGAAAGGATAAAGAATGTTGAACGAATCTGTAACCTGCTACGAACCGTAAGTTATTTTCTTGTTTGTTTCGATTGCATTACTTACCTGGGGTTGGGGGTTGTGTAACAAGAAACCAATAGATTTCAGGTATAAGGAGCTCACCCAGCAACCTGCAGGAGCTGGGGGGGGGGTGCTTGGGGGAGGGGTAAAGGTCTGACTGGCCTTCTATCAGAATCTATTTTGAGAGCTGTGACAGATTGATTCACATTCCTTCTGCACCTGTGTTCGGCCTCCGCTGCTCTCCGCCGAAAGGAACCGGTTCTTCTCCAGCCCCCTAGTGTTTGGATCAGGCTGCGGGTTTTGCAGTGCAGTGAAAGCGTTACAATCCAACAATAATCGCAGTGAATGGCCCATCTGTAGCTTTTACTGTTGTATACACTGGGGCTGCTTTGGCAACAGACTGAGGCCACTTACAGCTAAGTGGCGGAGGGCGAGAGACAAAGTGGAAGAGAAATAACCAGACTATGGGGGGAAAAGGAAAAAGAAAGAGAAATATTACATCTGTGCCCAGTCAAAGGTCTGGTCTTTAAATGGGTTTTTTGCAATTTTACAAGTAAATTACCGTTTGGTGTTCTGTGTCTGAACATTCTTTAATGTGCCAAAAAGTCAGTGTGTCTGACAGTGGCTGTATGACATTAACCTGCATGTGTGGGACATACATGAATGTAATCAAGTGACCTTTGTATGTTTTATTGTATGTGTGGTGCTTTGTTGTGTAAGGTCAGTACTGTGCAAAAGTCTCGTGTAGTCAAAGGAAAGGGGGCTATTTATCTCAGTAGAAAGTGTATATTTGCTCAGAAAAAAAATAATTTAACATTAGAACATATGGAAATTAACAGTACCACAATAAAAAAATAAACAAAAATTTATTCTGTTCTCCAAAATGTTACTGATATCTTGCTGGATGGCTAGATGAACACCGCTTCAGTTCCCAAACCTCTCCTCAGGGACACCTTAGTCATTCCATGAATTCATTAAATTTCACCATCGGCTCAATTAATTAACTTAATTAGTTAAATAACTTGATGAGGTTTTGTTTAGCCAAACAAGGTGGGGTAGTGATCAAGTCAAAGAATAAATTGGTCTTTTTGGATGGTTTCTGCAAATACTGGGCTGACTGAAGGAGCAGTTTTGTTATGGCTGTTCAATTCATTTCAATTCAATTGTATTTGTATAGCATATTTTTACAGCATTACATTGTCTCAAAGCGCTTCACATTATCCCTGCCCAAAGCCCCCAGTGAGCAAGCCAGAGGCGACAGTGGCAAGGAAAAACTCCCTAGAAGGAAGCTGACATACCTTGACAGACATTATATCATTGATTTGCATCAACATGAAGATGATTTAAACATCATTTTCTTTGACTGCATAAGGCTTTTGCACAGTGCTGTATGTAGTCCTCACATTGCAGGTGGCGTAACAGTAACGTTTTGCCTGTAGCTGGTGGTCCCTGAGTACTGCATCCATGGGCTCTTCTGCCTGATGTTCATGTGTGCAGCAGAGTGGGTGACCCTGGGCCTCAACATCCCCCTGCTTTTCTACCACCTGTGGAGGTACTCTGTCCTGCAGAATACACACTGCACTCAGCACCACACGCCAGTACAACCAGCTGTGGAGGTACTCTGTCCTGCAGAATACACACTGCACTCAGCACCACACGCCAGTGCAACCAGCTGTGGAGGTACTCTGTCCTGCAGAATACACACTGCACTCAGCACCACACGCCAGTGCAACCAGCTGTGGAGGTACTCTGTCCTGCAGAATACACACTGCACTCAGCACCACACGCCAGTGCAACCAGATGATGATGAATGATGATGCTGTTGATGATGATACTGTTGATGATGATGATGATGATGATGATGGCTGGTGCACCCATCTGAGGTGCATCATGCTGACCCTGTCCCTGCCCTGCCGTAGGTATTTCCACCGGCCAGCTGATGGCTCAGAGGTCATGTACGACCCAGTGAGCATCATGAATGCAGACATCCTGAACTACTGCCAGAAGGAGTCCTGGTGCAAGCTGGGATTCTACCTGCTCTCCTTCTTCTATTACCTGTACAGGTCAGTGGCAGCCTGTGGTATTATCAACACTATCAGCACTGTGCTTCACTCATTATTATGAAGTTACAATATATGTAAGAAAGGGGGAACCAGCTCCATATTGATGCCTGTGGGTTTAGAACGTGATGTCACTTCCTGTATGTGTAATTTTGCTGTAGTGTATTTGCTGATGTACTTATACATCGATGTGTATCCCATTCATCAGAAAATGCTGGACTTTAAAGCTCTAAATATGGGTTATAACATTTAATACAGAAGCATAATTGGAGCATTTTTTGGGGAAATATGGCATGGATCCGTCCTCAGTTCGGCAAAGATACCCTGGTACCGCTGTTAGATTAGCAAATAAAAATACACAAGTTAAATAAACAAGGTTCGCACAGCCAGTGCTGTCATATGTGTGTGGGAAATATGGGAAATCAGAAGTAAATGGAAGAAGTTCCTGCCAGAGTTATACTCCCAAAAGATGGTTATTTATTCTCAGAGAAAAATAATATTGAGCAGGATTATTACCGTGTGCACAATAACACAGATATAATATTGGTCTAGGAGACCAAGGCACAGGAAATATAACAAGAAAATATCATTTACGTAGTCCAGGTAAACATGCTACTGTTTGCAATGATAATATGGCGCACGTAGAACAAATACATAACTACTGTGCTAATTTTCTAATACGATTTCCTGCCTATGTGTGATTTTCTAAACTCTTTCAGCATGGTATACACCTTGGTGAGCTTCTAACCTGGGAAGACAAAGGCGGAGATCCAGAGAGCGTCTGACACATTGCTCTCCTTTCCACTACATCTCATCACTCCATCCCAGGACGCCACGTAGCTCACTCTCCTCCTCTCGGCAAAACAGCCGGGAGGGGGCACATTTCTGAGGAGGACCGAACAAATGAATGCGGGCGGAACTTTTCCAAGCACAGAGACGTCGCCACTGTGAAAACGGACAGCAGAGAGGAGGCCACGGTGTGGAGAGCAGGGAGAGGAAGATCCCAGAGTTTGAGTCAGGATTGTGGAACGCGATCGAGGAAAGCGGGCAGCACAACATGAGGCCAGATAACAGGCCGACGGTGTAAAACGGTAGCGAGAAAAATCAAACCAAACAATAACTGGGAAAGCACATCCACGTTCCTCCGCACCGACGACAGATGGCGGCGGCAGCCGGGACTGGCGGCTCAGTCTGATGATGGTGGAAATTCGGCCTCTCAAATTCCCTGGACGCCAGAGAACACAAGGAAAAAGATTGGAGCGGCTTTGGGATGGATCCAGCGATACAGAATGATAAGATTCTAATTAATGCATTAATAGGCATCACTACTTTGTTCAGCAGCCTCTTCTGTACACTAGAAATTGTTTTCTAATTCTCTAAATGCGCAGAGCCTTCGGTGGATGAAAATTACATTAGGAACCGTCCTGTTCCAGAAACCCTAACAGCTTTCACACACACTGCGTTTTCAACGGGCAAGACAAATCTAATAATCGTGCTGTGGATTGGCCCAGCGGCCCGTGTGGCCTCCCATGGAGTGAGGGGTGGTGAGTGGTGGGGTTTGGGGTGGGTTGGGCGTGGGGGCATAACCACTAGTCATTGTCCACTCAGGTCCTCATCACCACTTTGTACCAGTACTGACATTCTCCTCACTCCATCAAGTGCTTCTTGGAATGGGAGGTAATTCCCACCTATAGCCAGGACCTCTTCACTAACTGGTGTTACTGATACCTCTGACCGATGTTTACAGTGGGCAGCTCGGAATCCAGTGACTTACAGTACTCCTCACAGGATTGTGGGGTGGTGTGCAGCCGTGCGGACATTTAGAGGATGGGACGGTGCAGTACGCTTGTTCCGACTGCACTGTCGCCTCCTGCCGACTTGAATGTATAAGCCATGCGATGGGAATGGGCTATCAATTCTTTACTGTGGAAAATACCGGATTCTAAGGAAACCTATATTTGGGCCAAACTCTGAAACCAGAACCGGCCGAAATATCCGAGGCCCACACCAATGAACTTCGAACTAACCTATTTAAAAAGCCATGCTGACTGAATCTCTGAAACACGACCACAAAGCAAGACAATAACAGCCATCTGGAAGTGAGGCTTGGCGATCGTCTTTGCAGGTGCAGCTGTCACGGGCTAGCAGAGCCTTCCAGACTGGTTCATTTTGCACAGCGTGATATATACACTTGTAGCTCATTGGCTTTGTTTAGTTTTTCATGCCTTACTCAATAATTAGTCGACACAGTGAACATCTCGCACAACTACAATTTTTAGAGACCTGAACATGCACCATAGTGATACTTAATTCACAGCATAAAAGTACAGTTTTATGGCTTTCTACTTCAATTTTAGATTATGTACAGACACTGTTTTACTATTCTCAAGCAATTCAGATCACATGTTGTAAATAACAGTTACACAGTCGTTAACGTACTATCGAAAGCAGATGAGTAGACTGTGTGATTTTGTGAGAGTATCCATAAGTCTGTACACAGTGTTTGCCATGGTGGTGTGCGCCTTGGCCTTCCGTCCACAGTGAAGCATAAGAAGCACTGCTTCTTCACGGGCAGCAGACGAAGCACTGTTTCTTCACGGGCAGCAGACGAAGCACTGCTTCTTCACGGGCAGCAGACGAAGCACTGCTTCTTCACGGGCAGCAGGCCAGGCTGTGACAGAATGGCAGGTCGTCTCTGTACGGGAGCTGGTCGTCCAGACAGCAGTTACGCCGTTAAGATGGTGGGCTGCATAGAAACAGCCTCTCCTGACCTTTCTCAGTCCCAGATGTCCGCTTTTAATGCTATTCCAATTTCATCTTTGACACTATTCCAAAGCTGGGAGGAAGAGCCCTCCTGCTAGGATGATGAAATGAAAATCGTTTGTTTGCCAGAAAACGATGACGGCCTTGGTACGCTTTGAAATCAGAAACGCGGCTGCTCTCTGTGTAGATATTTCAGATGAAGTGTTCAGAGTCCCGAGGCTTATTCCAATGGTGGCGCAGAAAATGTATTAACGGGATTAAGAGGCGTGTCATTTACATTTCAGGAGGCAAATTAAACAGTTCACGTGCGAAGAGGCTGCCTCTACAGTGAAGTTTAGTATCACTCAAGATACTATTCCGTTTCAATAACACTTACTGTGCTTATAGTTATAACTGATGACAGAACAGATGACATACGTGTAACAATAAAATATATTAGTGTAATGCAGCAGAATGTACGACTGAAAGTATGTTCAAGGTATTTTTCATTTTTTATTGAATAAAGCTTATCAAAGCATTCACTGCTTAATGCACAGGATGGGCAGAAGAGGTGATGTTCAGATTGTTAGTATAATGGTGCCGGTTTCTTTTTTTTTTTTCAATTAGCAGAAACCATGGTAACGTTTCTTGAATCTTTCTAGTGTTTTTGGCACTAACCAAATGTTTTCTATTAACATTGTGGGCCACTTGTGTATGACTGTACTTTGTTGTGCATTCCTGGACAACACACGTCAGTCAAGGACAATCAGAGAAGCACAAAAGGTGGGGGGGGGAGGGGGGGGCAGGACCTCATGTCACTTTGCTAAAGTAGAAGACTCTTTGTAATGGTCTTTTCTATCAAATAATACAAGTCACTATATGCTACTGTTGTTGTTATCAGTTTGTATTTTGAACTGATAGGATATTGTAACGCAATAGGAACCACTGTAATGTATACAGAAGTCATTCATAAGCCTTGATATTATAATAAAATAGCAAATAGGCAACTCTGGGCTGCGGTGTCTCAATGTGTTGTGTGTGTACTTTAAAAATGACGATGATGATACGATGGTGTGATTAATAGCCCCCCCCCCCACACACACCGCACAAACAGGCCCTGTGTTTGTGTCTTAATGCTCAAGGACATGAACCCAGTTCAGAGGCCCCCACTCCATCAAGCATTTCATAAAGAAAACACACATCCCACCAAAACACTCTTTCTAGAGACTATAATGAAAACATACAAGGAGCCGCCGTGAATGTGAAAAAATAGACAAATCAAAAGCAGCTCTGGAACTTCAAAACAACGGCAACACAGTAATGACGTTAAAAATGTTCCACTTTGAGTCCAGACAAGCTGAGGTGAGGCCCAGCTGCATCAAGCTCGTTTGGGGAGAACTTAACTAATAGCTCAGAGCTGTTAAAATCTTATCTAGCTCTGATTTAAAGGAACCCAGGGTATTAGCTTCCGCTAAACTTGCACGCTGTGTAAAGAAGTGCTTTCTCAAATTAATTTTAAAATGTTCTCCCGCTAATTTCCACCTATGGCCACGAGTTCTGGTATTTAAACTAATATTGAAGTAGCCATTTGGCTGAACTGCACCCATACCTGTTAGAATCTTACATACCTGGATCATGTCCGCCCTTAGTCTCCTTTGCGCGAGGCTGAACAGATTCAGCTCAGCTAACCTCTCCTCATAAGACATTCCTCTAAGACCAGGAATCATTCTCATAGCCCTCCGTTGCACCTTTTCTAAGGCAGCAATGTCCTTTTTAAGGTATGGTGACCAAACCTGCACACAATATTCTAGGTTGGGTCTTACCAAGGAATTGTATAATCGTAGCATCACCTCCCTTGACTTAAACTCCACACACCTAGAGATATAACCCAACATTCTATTGGCCTTTTTTATTGCTTCCCCACACTGGTGAGAATGGAACATGGAACCATCAACATACACACCAAGGTCTTTCTCATAATCAGCTACCTTTATTTCAGTAGGTCCCATAAAATATCTGTACTTTATATTTCTGCTCCCTGCATGGAGTACCTTACATTTATCTGTGTTAAATTTCATCTGCCAGGTATCAGCCCAGTCGCTAATTAAATCAAGATCCCATTGTAGCCTCTGTGCTGCTAGTTCAGTATCTGCTACACCACCCACCTTGCTGTCGTCTGCAAATTTAACCAGTCTACTGCATGTATTGGTGTCAATATCATGAATGTAAATTAGGAACAATAGTGGTCCTAAAATTGAACCCTGCGGTACCCCACTATGAACGCAGGCCCTCTATGACATTGTGCCTCTATTAACTATCTGCTGCTTCCTGTCTGTAAACCAGTTTTTGATCCAAGCTGCTACAGTTCCTAAAATCCCTGCAGCTTTGAGTTTAAGCAAGAGCTGTTTGTGGGGGACAACATCAAAGGCCTTCTGGAAATCTAAGTAGATTACATCGTAGGCCTTTTTGTGATCAATTTCTCTTGTAGCTTCCTCAAAGAACTCAAGTACATTAGTTAACCAGGATCTACCTCTCCTAAATCCATGTTGGCTATCCCTCAGAATCTTACTTGAATCCAGATAATCTACCATTTTCACTTGGATTATAGCTTCCATCACTTTTCCAGTTATGCAAGTTAAACTGATTGCCCTATAGTTTGCTGGATTACTTCTATCCCCTTTTTTGAATATGGGCATTATATTAGCTAACTTTATGTACCTATGCAACTCACTAAACAGCTAACCTTTATTTTATTTTATTTTATTTTAATTTTGTTGTGTGTTAATGTGCCTTACCACTCCTTGCCACGTGTTCTGCTGATTCTGGATCTTGGTCCACCATCCTCCGCAGTCTGTATTTATGAATGTTCCTATGGGCGACCTCGATGAAGTTCTCACTGCTATGAAAAAAGAGAAGATAAAAACATTTCAAATGGCTAAATTCACTATCAAAAAAATTAATATCATATAAAATATAACATATATTTCCACAAAATGGTTTGCGTAGGTGCAATGAAACGAAGTAGATTAAGAGGCCTTTTTGACATATAGAGATATCTGGGCTTATTTACTCAACAAATGGGAGAGAAATTAAAGATGTCTTATGAAAGCTATATTGTGCATCTGAAAGCACAAAACCTATTTCATCTTAATATATAGTAGCTGCATTGTAATATAGGTTAATTGGGCCAATTCACATACACATAATTTGGTCAGACGTACAATATGAAGAACAAATCATTGGTCAATGGTTAATTCCAAGTGCAAAACACTATTCAATAACTCATATAAGGTATCATTTGATGCCATGTGATTGAATGCAGAAAGAAAAATATTAGTCATTCCAAAATATGAGAAGAATATAATTAAAAAATGAATTTAAAACTGATTTTTTTTTTCTACAAATGTAATCAATGAAGTCAAGCAATGACCTTATATCAGATGAATTCTGCAGCTTTTTAAAATGATTGTAAAGGTTAATTTACAGGGACATTCAATATATAAACCATGAATATAAATGGCCTAAACCTGACCTGAATCTGAATGATCGAACATAACATATTAAATGAATATCCATCCATCCATCCATCCATCTAGAACAGCATTAATGTAAGCATGGGGGCACTGATACCCTGGACAGGATGCCCGACATATCAGATACCTACAGCATCAAAACTGACTGCCAAAGCTAACATACATGGGATTGATTTAATCAGCACAAAATAACACTCTATTTAGCAAAAATATCACATATCTAGAAGCTGAACTTGGGCACTAATATTTCTCAGTTTAAAGAGAGGTGACAGATTCCTCAGCAATTACAGACTAAGGTAAAAAAATGTTCCAAGATTCCTATAATGGTAAATTAATAAACCATTTTTACTTGTGCATCTCAGACTTAAGGCTCCGTGCACAGCAGACAAACGTGTCAATGAAGAGTAAAGGTCTGGGCTTTTTATTGTAAAGGATGCTTAAAAAGAGATTACCTACAAAAGAAGTGATTCCTGTAACCCAGGTAAGTCCAATGAATTGGAGTAGGAAATCCTTTTGAGGTTAGAAAGGACAATGCAGAGTGTGGTATAGTCGGGGTATGGTGTGTGCTCAGACCCAGGTCCTCAGTGAGGTCTGGCAGAGTGCTCGAATATTTGCCCGACAGGATTAATTCACCAGCACACTGAAAAGATAATCCATGCAATGACTGAATAAGTAGCGAAGATCAATTCTCATAAACGCCGGCGCAAACAAGACAGTAAATATTTCAACTACATGCTCACACAATTGGAACATTTAAGTGTTGACCTTGCACTTTTCAAATGTTGTTAATTTTTTTCCCTCGTTCAAACAGCTTTGGGATGCTGCTTGCTCTCTGCGGCATTACTGAAACTATGGCAACGCCAGCGGAGAAATCTTTGAATTTTGATGGTAAAAGCAAAGGAGAGAAGGAGAAAGAGAGAGAGATTCTGTCATTCTTTGTGGTCACCATGGTAACCAGATCATGTTAGGCTCCTATTCATTGAACACTCTTTCAAATCCTAATATGAACCAAATATACTCAGTAGTATTTTTTCACTGTCATTTTTAAATATTTTGTCCACAGTAATTTTAAATACAAATTATATTGGATTTTTAAAATAACGATGAAAAACACAGTCAGGGCATAGAGGTTAGGGGCTCATATATATTATATATAAATTATATGTATTATTTTGCCATTGAACAGCCCCACAGTCACTGAGCTCTATCAAGGCTATTGCGCTGTCCTCTCCTCTGTGCCCCCTTTACAAGTTCTCCCCCCACACTTTCCTTTTTTCTATTGCTCCCCTGCTTTTGAATCCCCTTTCTCTCACATACTCTTACTTCACAAAGAGTTGCCATGGAAACTGGTTAAAATGTATATTTTTTTGCTAAAAGCAAAAAAAAACAAAAACAAAAGTCAGTCAGTCACAAACCTAATTGTTTTTTAACAATCAAAATGTGCAACCCCTCTCCTGGGTTACATTGATGCCTAAATGATACATATTAACTGCACACTTCACCTTGCCTGTTCACACTAGTTGCCATGGGATACTGCCATTGTATCCTCCAGAACTGTAAGAGAATTTGGAAACGCTGCAATAAGTTTTGGGACAATGAATTTAGCTGAAAATGTGTGTATTGTGCAATATGCTGTGGTTGAATCATTTTATAGTACATCAGGGCCATCAGGGGAAAAAAATATCTGTGTAGTTGGATATTTTGGAGATAATTTGCCAGTGAAATTGTTAATTTCATATGAGTCATAAAAGCACACTAAGAGGTTAAGAGCGAGTTTATCTATGTCAGGCATGTGTGTGTGTGTGTGTGTGTGTGTGTGCGTGTGTGTTTTGAATTGTGGATGAGAGCTTTTGTACCAGCCGGGAAGACACATAGTCATAGATGCATACACGCATTACGCAGGCAGTCAGACCGCCGCAGACAGCACTGATGCATGCATGCACGCAGACGCACACACACTGACAGGCCAGCCTGTGAGACAGCAGGAATGGGGGTGTCAAGAGACCCAAAGTGAGATGTATCCATCCTGTGCTGTTAAGACACTGTCCATGTCAGATCTTCATGCCCATAGATGATAAGGGGAAAATAAGGTGAAGTGAGGAGGTTAGGGGTTCACATGGGGGGGGACACTACTCATATATTTGTTAGATGGGGTGGGAGGGGGGGTGCATGTATGTGTTGTATGGATTTCTTCCCTGAGTCCCGAGACATACAATCAAGCTAATTGTTTTTTTTCCATATTGCCGCAAATATATGTGTGGTCCCTGTGAAGGACTGGCGTTCTTTCCAGGGTGTGAATGCTCTCCGCTTCCCAGGATCGGCTCCAGGCTCCCCAGCAACCCTGTCCGAGATCAGCTCCTGGATGCTCGATAGATGATGAACATCTAAATATTGCAAAACAACACAGACAGCACATCGTCATCTACGGACATCAAGAGGTTCTCATCCACAGTTTTTCTGAATTACCTTTCATACGCAGCAGAAAGAACGTACAGGAAAATAAATCAGGCTTCAGGTTCTGGATCAGGAATCAGTGCCTGGATGTATTCAGACCAGAAAAAAATAGAAGCCAATTTAATATCACCTGCAATAAGGCACAAAGAAGAGTCCTCACATGACATTACCCACACCCTAGGACATCCACACGACATCACCCGCGCCCTAGGACATCCACATGACATCACCCGCGCCCTGGCACACCCACACACCTCTCATGCATTGTTATTTGTGCAGCGCAGGACATTCTCTTTTGTTTTCTGCACACAGAATTCATGTAGGTGTTGTCCTGTTGCTAACTGGCTAGAAGCTTAGTAGCTTCTGATTTTTAACCACAGCTTGGTCACTTTACATAGCAGATGCCGTTTTAAATATAGTTACTGTGTCTAAGATGCACATTATACAATAGGTACCTATACCCATCCTGCCAATACATTTGTATATGTTTATGGTGCTGTTTCATCCCCTGTGATGGACTGACATCCAGTTCAGGGTGACTCTCCGACTTGTGCCCCCTCCAGCACCCCCCCCCCAAACAAATAAACCCTATGCTGGATAAGTAGCTGGAACACAGATAAGGCTGGTTTCTAACAAACGCCACTATGCTGCCCCAGAGTTAAGCATTTTCATTTTCATCAAAGGTACAGCACCAATAAAAAGTGTAGGCACACATACTGAAAATCATTTGTTTTTCAACAATACAGGAACAGCATAACATAAGCTGACCTTGAGGTTACGTAAAGACTGTATCACATAACAAGCAAAGCGATGGAGTGCTGTGACAGGTGACCTGGCCCCCACAATCCTCCCCCCCACCCCCGAACCTAAACCCTATAGAGCTGGTTTGCATGGGATGAGTTGGACTGAAGAGTAAGAGCAAGGTAGCCAACTTGTGCCCAGAACTTGTGGAACCATCTTCAGGACTGTTGGAGAAGCATTCCAGGTGGCTACATCTGGAACCTGGCTGAAAGTATGCCAAGATCCTGCAGTGCTGTCATTGAAGCAAACGGGACCTATTTTTAAGAGTCTAAAATTTGAGAAAAGTTGGAGATGTTGAACGCGTCTCTTGGTCGTTGCAATATTTGATATGTATAACTTCATCGTCTCCAGGCTTTTCACTATAAGGTGACTGACACAGCTAAAATAGAGAGTTAGAAGCAGATGTGTCCTGACTTTTGACTGTCCCTGTACTGACTGAAGGTGACACAAAACACACTCCTTGCTAAAGTGTCCCTGCTATTGCAATCAGCTCCTCTCTATCATCCCCTTCTTGCTTTGAGAACCATGAGGAAATACGGGCGAAGGCACCGTAATCGGCTCCGTAACTCATTTACACTAAACGGCTGCTAATATTCCCACTCCCCATCCCATGGGCTACATGCACAGGTTTTTACCCCAATAATTCCGATCCTACAATATTGACATGGCCTATGAGTAATGAAAGTCATTTTAGGAATTGATATTTGGGTTCTGTAATAAACTGGACGTTGCATTTCGCTCCACCCACCGATGGGAAACGCTACAGTGTCAGACAGGATTCCGAAACATTAACCTGGGACCTTGGACCTGCAAAACTAATTAAGCTCATATATTTTAAAAGCCCCCATTAAAGGCCTGTAGTTTCCTCTTTAATTTCCCTAAAGGTGGTTCCTTCCCTGCTTCTGGCCGGTGACGCCACCTTCGCATGACCTTTAGAAGACTGAGACACTCCCCATAGACCCTGCTGTCATTTTTGTCCTAAATCCCATTACAACTATCGCTGCCTCCACCCTTCTAATACCCTTGCAGCCTGACCAGTGACATTATTATCATAAAAAGCTGGTGTGCTAAATTAAAGCCATTTACTGACTGGTTCATCAACTGATTACATGACTGAGATGGAGACTCGTGCTTCGGCGATGGTGTGAAAGTTTACCGAACAAACAAAAATTCTAAAATTGGAAAAGCACTGCCAAGAAGCAGGAATATGTAGAGAAACAGGAGCGAGGGAACCAGTAGAATCTGAATCATTCATGAGGACTTTTGAGAAGTATGATAAATTTACTGGGCGCTATGGACGCAATCACCAGAAGAGAGGCGGAGGAGAAACTGAGCAGGAGAAGGTAAGATGCAAAATACGGTGTGATGGGCAAGGAAACAATGCCGCCTCACTCACAGCCAAAGGCGATCTGCATATATGCCATATGCACACTTTCGGTTATTTTTCAGCTGTGTTCCGCATGGAGCGAAAACACAGAAATACACAGCAACACAGCACGCCCTCGAAAAGAGCAGATCACAGTCAACAGGCACAGAGACACTTTTCGGCGAGATGGCCACGAAAAAGACTGCAAGACACTGAGTAATCGCTTTGCAAATAATTTCTCAGAATGAGTCACTGCTTCATTATTTCGGTCTACCTATATACCGCTGCCATCAGTCTTACATTATTACATAACCTCTTACATGTTATCTTTAATCTATATGGAGTAGCTGTCATATTTTATCCATAAAAAGCTTTTGAAGTTTGCTTAGAAGTAACAGTACAAGTGCTGACAAAGGAAATTGAATTTAGACAGACTGGATGTATTTTTATTTTGGGGGAAATACCTGACAGAAAGGAATAGACAGGATCTGACTTATAAAGTCTTGTTAAGGTACATGAAATAGCCAAAAAATGTGAACCCTGGAGTGAGAGATGGGGGGTTAAGAGGCAGAGAGGAGATGTGAGAAAGTAAAAAAGTAAAGGAAGCACAGGGGCATGCAGGGGAACAACAGGTGGCAGTGAACAGGCGAAACAAACGGCTGCAAAAGACACATTTCCAATGAAAATGCATCAATATGCTCAGTTGTAGTTTTATTTCATGAAAATAATAATACAATGAAATACACTTAGGAATTACATCTCTTGCTGCTTGTGGCAGTTTGAGGTTCTGACGTGTTAGACAGCAAGAACAAAATGACCAATCTTGAGGCAATATTATCCTAACTGGTGTCTAAGCATTCCTCATATGTCAGCCACAGGGAATCAAAATATCAGCCAAAATCCCATTGCCAGCTCTTAATTCATGTGACCTGTGTGATCTGTCTCGAGCACAGAAAGCTATCAGACCGGTGGACCACACACAGTGCCCTTGTGTCGTCAAGGCAGACCTGGAAGCGATATTCCGCAAAACTAAAGGTAACACACATACAACAGAAACACAAACTGGATCACAGTCTTCTAAAACCACGGGCAAGCAATTCCCCCAGGCGTAACACTTGTGGGGTACACAAAAATCGTCCAATACCACCATACACATACACATACACTGCTGTACACTTGCTTTCACAATGCTTTCAGGAAAGAGTTGTCATGGCAACAGGCATAAGTGTTACCGTAGCAATCAGACAGCACAAGAGAGAGAGCGAAAAGGAGACAGGGAGAGATGTTGGTATGACTAACATTGTCCTATTGGCTATCTAGAAAAGAGAGAAAAATACACTCTATTAGCCTTGGGTCACAATATTAGCATTACCATCTAATATCTTGCATCTTTTCGGATAAGACGGGCTGCTTCAGACTTCCAGAAAGTGGGGTTTGAATCCCTGCCCTGTAGTTTGCATGTTCTCCCCTTGATGTGTTGCCATTTTCACAAAATACAAAGACATTGGCTTAGACACACTGATGTCTCTAAAATGCCCATAGTACATGATTGCAGGTATGTGTGTAACCGGATCCCATCCAGGGTACAGGGTACACCCCAGCCTTGTGCCCCAATATTGCCTCGCACAGCCTCCATGTGTGCGGAATGTACAAGTTCTCCCCATGCTGTCGTGTAATTTCCTCTGGGTTCCCCGATTTCCTCCTACAGTCCAAAAAAAAAAAAAAAACAAGAAGTTCAGGTCAATTGGAGGTGCCACATTGTCCGTAGGTGTGAATGTGTGCGTGTGAATGGTGTGTGAGTGTGTCCTGCAATGGGTTGGCACACCATCCCGGGTTTTTCTCTGCCTTGCGGCCATAGCTTCTGGCATAGTCTCCGGACAGACCCCCACATCCCCGTAAAGGACACGCGATATACAAGATGAATGAATGAATTACATTACTATTAACATCGATATAGGACTCCTCTCAGGTGTTACACGAGTCGTGTATATTCTACGAATCTCTCACCTTCAAACAATATATCGAGGTTGCGGTTTAATAATTGCTGGTTAGACAGAAGACATGATGAATAGTTGATGCTCACCATGTTCCCATGGTAGCTGAATGTTGTCATTAAAATGCCATGGCAGGTGGACTGCTGAGAAAAGGTCAGTACATTAATTGGTGACAAGAATGTAAAGAGGAAAAGGTGTAAATGAAAATAATAACAATGTTACCAAAATATCGTCTGCAGTTATAGGTCATTTAGTCTAGAAAATGTACAAGTATCTGTAGAAGGAGGATCAGGGGAGATTAGAAACAATGGGGTTCAAGTTTTTCTAAAATGTCATGAAGGAGAAGACATAAAAACAAGCATAAGGCCGTGCAGAAACTGCAATTTACAACGTTAATAATACACTCATTCGCTCATGTTCCACGAGGAATCGTACAATCACACTGTTTTTCGATGCGCGCACAGTTATGAAATGCTAAATATTCTTGTTTGCAGCTTTGGATCAGTCGTATCTGGTGTTTCTGCAGATCTGGGAACCGATTCAGAGGGAAAAAACGGTTAAAAATACATCTAAGCATCGCTGCGAACACTGTGTCAGTGTTCCGTCTCTTTATCACCTTGACACTGACGAATGCATCTCCACCATCAGCACTTATCTACACTTAGTACACCCACTCGCTCTGAGTCACCCGCCAAGAGACAGAAACTGTCCCATTGACTCTCACCCTCTCTCACTCCCGCACAAACACACCAATTCACGGCGGCACATACACTGCGCCGAAAGGTTTCTCATGCAAAATGTAACAAGTGCACACCTAGCGTAAACACACACCAGGGCCAGCGTTCATGACTGACGCATTCATTTACATATACAATTACATACAGAGTAATATATTCTATTTAAAACTTACGCGTCCATGGCTTACGCAATGTCATTACGGGCTCCAGGTTTTGGGGAACTGCATGGGTGACACCTACTGGACACTTTCAGTTACTACCATTCCACCTGTTCTCGAGGTATTTAACGAAACAGGTGTATGAATATGCTAACAAAAATCAACACACGTATGACTAACGGGCAGTTTTTTTTTTCTGCACTAAAATAAACTGAAAACAACGTGGGCATTATGTGAGCCTGAAAACAAAAAACGAAAAGTGACGAGCATGTACTTCAGGCGAAAATAAAAATGCAAAAAAAAAAAAAAAAAGTTTCTTCTTTATTGTTCTGTGATGAGATTTAAAAAACAGCAATCGACAACACCGCGGCTGATCTGTGAGTTTTGTTTACAGGGCATGGGGAGGGCCGGTTCTGAACAGTGTTCCATTACAGAATTACAACCAGGGCCACACAATGCTTAACATCAAGAATAATCCTTCATTTAAGAACTTGTGAAGTATATTACATACAGACACAGTTTATATATTAAAATAATAAAAAAAACAGATATAATATATTCTTTTTTTTTTCTTCATCCAGACTCTCTTCGATGTCCATATCACTAGCACCCTCCTGGATGAGTATATTACTGGCAAACCTCCAGTATAGAGTCAGACCCAAGCTGGCTTCTTTGTATCAAACTGGTCAAATGCTGCACCCTTGAACAGGAACATCTCCACACTGGGAAACCAACACATATCAAGAGCAGAAAAATGTGGAGTCTCTCAGACACGCATGAGACTCTCCTTATGGACAATGCACACTCAGCCCAAATGAGTCACTGTCAATATGATTTTTTAATAACTTTTCTCATGTCTAGGACAACTGCATGTGAGATAAGAGAATAGTATTACTATGAGTCAGTGCAAAAAATTCAAATGCAATCCAGTCATCCATCAGTTATCAGACTCACAAAGTTATCAGACCAGGGGCGTCGTTAAGCCTATTTTAGGGGAGCTTCAGCCCCCCCCCCGAATAAATATATATTTATTCAGACAGTGAACTGGGCCAGGACAGTGGAGCTCACTGTAACGGACTTCTGTAAGAAATTCCATCGGATACTGGAAACTCCAGGAAGTGAACATCACCTGCTAATGTGGAACTTCTTCTTTCATTTCTGCAAACACCTACTGTTGTAAAGAAACACATGCTACCATACCTACATACATTATATAATGTATTCAGGCAAAACACAATTTAAAAAAGCAATTTATTAAGTCACAATAATTCTTAATATTTAGCAGAACATTAAAAAAAAAAAATGCGATCACCGCACCCTTTGATCATTACTCCTTATCATGTATGACAAGATATGAAAAGTACCAGAAGAGCTGTTTTAGACAATGCTGTGCTCAAAGTCATTTTGAGGAACAATGTGAATTTAAGGAGATGCTGATTACTTCACCTACACTAGTGTTTAACTCTAGCACAAGGAAATATCTAAATGAATATGAATATATAGGCCCTACATGAAACTACTGCTTGCTGCATGACTGATCTGTAAGGAAGAGAACCAGTGTATTAATAAGCGCCATTTATTGTTGTTCCACTCTCTGTTTTTAGTCATCCAAATTCCTTCAGTTCACTGGTTGGTGTTCTGGTGTTGTCGTCTCCCAGGGTTCCTCTTTAACCTCACTTTTTGGCAACAACTAGGACAGCAGACGGCACCAGACCTGGGGGAGAGACAAGACACCAGTGAGAAATGACATTTTATTAAGGCTTATTTTACCTAGACCTACTGACATCAGCTGAACAACTGAATGCAAGACGGTGGAAAAATAGCACTTAATTAAAATGATTTATTACACATCTGTGTCTATTTGATGTGTTTGCACTTGAAATTCCATTTCAAAAATATGTTTATGTTTTTAAAATAGCTGCTGTCCCAAGGCACTTCATATTGGATGCAGTACAGTTACTGAGACCCCAGGCTACGCCATCATTCCACGAGGCTCCATCCTCACACCCTGTCCCAAGCTCAACCCCAAAGCCCTACAGGCTCCGCCTCCCAAGCCCCACGGGCACCGCCCCTCCAAGCCCCACAGGCTCTGCCCCCATACTCCATCCCCCAAGCACCACAGGCTCCGCCTCCCAAGCCCCACAGGCTCCGCCCCCCCAAGCCTCTCAGGCTCTGCCTCCCAAGCTCCACCCCCAAGCCCCACAGACTCCGCCTCCCAAGCCCCACAGACTCCGCCCCCAAGCCCCACAGGCTCCGCCCTCATGTCCCAGGTACTCACCAAGCTCCCGCAGGGGCTTCTCCATGTCCATGTCAGTGTAGACGCGCCGGGGGTAGGGGGACAGCAGGGTGAAGTCCTGGCCTTCCACCCCATTCATCTGCACATAGACTCTCACCGCAGCCAATGGCTCCTGCGCCTTGAAGACAGCAGTCAGGGTGGAGCCATCCAACAGACGCACCTGGGAGGGGGCAAGGGAACAGTGAAATAAGGAATCAGTGCCGTCACAATGCGCCCCCCCCACCTCACACACGCACACACACAACCCATACCTGTATCCGAGACTCGTCGTAGTCCTTCTTGGCTGGCGGAGGCCCTTGGCTACCCGAAGAAGCAGAGGGGGCGGCCTCAGAGGGGGGAGATGTAGGAGAGACCACTGAAGAGCCCCCCCCAAACTGGGAAGACGGACAGTGCATGTTGGAGTACGGCCAACTGAACAGTGACTGTGAGCCATATCTGCCTTTCATTCTGAATTAAACAGGACCAGCAGAAGTACCACGATCATACATCTAATCATTTTAAGTCATACACAGCAAAGTAGTGACGACCGATATTATTCAAAGGAAGAAATTTGTATTTACGTTGTCTGTCACCTAGGTGGGTGGTTCATAAAAAGATCTAATACACTTTATGACTATTAGATACAGAAAGTTCTATCACACAGTTCTGTTACATTAATGAAGGCAACAGAGATGTTCCAGTCTAGTCAGTATCTCCAGCCTGCAGTCATTCTCTCCTAACAGGCATAACAGACTCTAAGAATGTCAAACAGCAAGACAGAAGGCTGATGGATTCTGTACCTTCTGCGCTCTCTCTTCCCTGTCCCGGGCAATCTTCTCCCGAACTCGCTGCCTGGACCACAGAATAAGAAAGAAATAAACAAGGTCAGTGTGAAGAGGTTACAGTACTAAGGCTGTGAAGGCCAGATGACTGGCAGGCTACTAGACCTGTGTCCCGACAATGACTTAAAACAACCCACATGGGATTCTCAATGGTGAAATGGCAACGTATTGTAACATAAAAGACAGAACTAATGTCCATACGGTGATGACAGTGTATTTGCTGACATCATCGCCACCATTGCGTGTTTGTTTGTCAATGAGATGTTACTACAATCTGTAGTACGATGATGACGTTCCTTGCTTGTTGAACTGCTGTTGTCTCCATCCATCCAAGAACAGAAGACCTGCACTTAACGTCAGCACATTCGGAAGTCAACCCAGACGCACTTGGCCATCCTGTCCTCCATCTTCTCCCTCCGCCGCTGCTCGGTCAGCTTCTTCATCTCCTCCTCCTGGAGCTTCTGCTTGACCTGCAGCAGCTCCTGGCCCTGCTTCCGTCTCTGCTTCTCCCTCTCCACCTCCTCCCGTCTCTCCCGCTCTCTCCGCTCCTCCTGCTTCACTTTCATCAGCTCCTCCAACCTGGGAGTAATACTCGCATAAGTATCGTTTACCTTTTGTTTGGCGTAATGAGTGTACACAAATAATTAGTTATGTCTGCTACATTACATAGCAGCAGTTAAATGACATACAGCAGTTAACTGGTAATAAGATATACTACCATTTCAGTTATATATTTTACATTACAATTAAGTAACAAAAGCAATTGGCAGATACTGGGTGCAAAGCAATGAAAGTCTTTGAATGCTCATTTGTATGTTCTATGGAACTCCTACAGAAACACAACCTTTATAGTTACAACTTTAAGAAAAAAAAGAACATTTAAAATACCATTTAAAAATGAACAATCCCTCTTTCCCAAACTGCGACCTGCCAGTATTAAATTCACCCATCCTCACACTTACTGTTCTCATGCGCTCTCACACACACCAACCGTTTGATTTGCTCCCGTTTCTCCTCTTCTGTCATTGGTTTCTTAAGTCCTTCCTCTTCTGACAACTCTGCCCCCTCCTCTGCTGCTACAGTGTGCATACAAGAACAGCTGGTTGGATGTCAGGACGGCAGCGTGCACGAGCGCAGCGGCCCGGAGCTCTCCGCGTAGAAGTCGATCTTTCGTAAATTTCCTTACACACCCAGAATACGCACTTTAAATGTTCGGACTCCTAGCCATCATAGAATCACCCATGTTGACTATACAACAATGCTGCTGTCACATTCATCTGAGCACCACAATTGCCCTCTATGTAATTCATTATATCGTACAATACTGTTGATCATGATCATTACCCTGCAGTAATGCTAAAACCCACAACCGCTGCCTTTCTCAAGTGCAATAATATTTCATGCGGCAATATTTCTCTTATACTTTTATACTGTGTATTTTTCTTTACACTGCTATATACTGTCTATTTTTTTCCTTACATTTTCCTTTGAGCTTGTATAGTTTTTTATTGAGGCCCTGTACAGGATGATCCAAACATCATCTCATTGTAGAGTAACAATAAAGATATCTTGGGTCTTGTATAAGATTAAAACAGTACAAACTGTTTTATGAAACAAAGACAGGCCCATAGTCCGATGGTTTCCTGGGATTCTGACACGTCAGAATCAGACAGTAAGCAGCTACAGGGCTGTGTGGATGACCATCCTGTGCATTACCTGGTGTAGGCTCTGTTGGTGTCTCTTGGCTGTCACTAGACTCCAGGACATTCCCTGCCGGCGGGACATAAGGCTCATCGATGTCTGGGTCATTCTCATGTTCCATCAACCTGTTGAATGATTTTTATAGAGACAAATTTATAAACAGGGCATCATGAATCCCTGCATTACTGGTACTTCCTGGCTTGGCAAACTCACCAGTCCATAGCTCTCTCTATACCCTGATTGCCAGTATGTGCAACAGCCTTCTCCCTGAGAACACAACAGCCATCAGGACAGTAACCAACACATAAAAAGCTAATTAACATAAAGCAGATGCACAGAGTACAAAAAAAAACTATGACTTACGCTCTGTTCCTGTCAAAGCCCATTTCCAACAGGCTGTCTAACGTCGTGCATTCCGCCATCTTACTAAAAGGAAAACGGGATTACTTAAATAAATAGTACAAAAGGATGTTCTTCTTACACGAATGTATAACGTTAAATTTGGAGTATCGATGGTATCTTTATAAATGCATGCAGCCAAATGAGTTGCTGGGTAATATTGTTACCTAAGGTAAAGTAACTTGAAAAGACAGTATTTGGGCATGCGGTGGTTAAAAACTAGGATGATGTAGTCTATATGTAGCTAACGTGCTGTCTGTTTCTATCCTAGCATAGGTAACTGCAATGGTAGTATGTTATCTGGGTTCGTAAAGACGTTTCAATACCTGTTGTGGTTTTATTGTGGTTATGCTACGGCTCACCTAACAAAACTTTATTATACATTAACACTCCGCTGTATTCTATTTTGCGATCAGCAATATTGTCTTCTGCTAGCAAAATACCATCTGCTTACTCACAACCACACTCGCGAGCTTCCAGTCCGCATGTATCTCTACGGATGCCCGAGGAGAACAAAACGGACGACTACCCGGAACGCGTTACACTCCAACCGGGAAGCATTTGCGAACCTTGGGCACGTATACATTATTTATACTTAACTACGGTTTAATTTTTATTTTTCATTAGCGAAGGAGTGCGCTTGGATCACAGCGCGAACGGGCAAAGGGATTCTATGCCATAATCAGTTTTCGATATTTATTTAAGTTTTGGGTATTTATTTATTATTCATAATATTTTTGCGCAACTCAATGACTATTCTCACATTCCCGCAATGCTTACTTCTACATCGTGTGGGTTTATTTATTTATTTGCAATTGTCTTGTCTATCTGTTGACTTTACGCATATATGTGGCACCGCATCGCGGGGAATATTTTTCAATGACCCCATATCCATGAATATGCTGAGATGGGTTGGTGCCCCATTCTGGGTTGTTCCCTGCCCGTAGCCTCCGGAATACGCTCCGGACCCCCCATGACTATGAATAGGACAAGCGGTTCCAGAAAATGGATGGATGAATATGCATGAATATGGTTAGTGTGCCAATGAAACCCTACTTCTAACTTAAATCTAGGCACATAAAGTTCTGTATGAACTTCTGTATTTATAGTGAGTGAATTTATGGTCCTGGTCTGTATTATATGAAATTATATGCTGAATATGGCTGACTTGGCTGTCACTCCATTAGGTACATCTATCCATCCATTTTCTGTAACTGCATATCCTATTCGGGGGGGTACAGACCCTACTCTGGAGGCTGCAGGTGAATGGCAGGGAACAGCCCAGGATGTAGCACCAACCCATGACAGTGCACACTCACAGGCCATTTGGTAACTCCAATTAATGTTAGCGTGTTTTCAGACAGGGCAGCACAGTGGTTAGTGCTGTTGCCTCCCAACCAGAAAGTCCTGGGTTTGATCCTAGGGCCGGGCGTAGGGCGTAGGTCCTTTCTGTGTGGAGTTCACATGCTCTCTCTGTGGTCAGGTGGGTTTTTGCCAGGGGCTCCAGTTTCCTTCCATGGACTGGTTGATTGGTGAGTGTTAAATTAGCCCTGTGTTGTGTTGGTTCCTGCCTGTGCCCCTTGTTCCTGAGATAGGCTCTGGTCCCCACCATGAACCCAGTTGTGATTAAACAGTTACAGGGATGGATGGATATTTTCAGACTGTAGGGGGGAAACTCAACAAAACAACAAGCAAATTTATTTTTGTATAGCGCATTATCACAACATTACATCGTCTCAAAGCGCTTTACAGCATCCCCACCCAAAGCCCCCAGTGAGTAAGCCATAGGCGACAGTGGCAAGGAAAAACTCCCGAGAAGGAAGAAACCTTGGGAGGGACCAGACTCAAAGGGGGAGCCCATCACTCACCAATCAACCAGTCCTGCAACTCCACAATGACATGGGTAGAACATACAAACTTCACACATATGAAGCCATGACAGAGACTCAAACCCAGGTCCCAGAGGTGTGAAGAAACAGTGCACCCTCCCCCAGTTACAACATTATATTTAGTACCAAGTAGGACCTGTTTTTTGGCCTCCAGAGCTGCTTAAGGGGAGACAAGCTGTTTCTCCAGAGAGGCTTTTCTACACACCACTGCTGTACTGAGCTGTTATTTCGGCACTCATGGCCTTCCTGTTACCTTCAAGTTTAGCCATTCAGCTTTGACCTTCCTTATAATTAACAAACTATTTTTGACTACAGAAATGCTGTTTGTTCATCTCATCATTCTATGTAATCATTAGACTCTGCAGTGTGAAAGATCACAGGAAGCTGAATGTTTTTAAGATTCCGGAACCACAGTGCATGACACCTACAATCACACCACATTCAGACTCAATTAGGACACACATCTTAGCTCGTCTAATGTTTAGGTGAACAATAAATGCTCTTGTTTTTCTCTGTGTTGTATGTGTTCAGTTTCAGCTACTGTTTGGAGGAGTTTCATGCATTAGTAGGTGTGCCTAACAGGTATTTCCTGTGTATAGTACTACAAAGTGATCTCTAGCAAATCTCTAGCATGAATTATATACGTGTAACAAATGCTAATTTTTTAAAAAAAGTTATGAATACAAAATCCACTAATAAAAAAAAAAAAGACAAAATTTACTAATGCTGATGTCCAGCTTTTAATGGGATACAGGAACACTATCTTTATTGATAACATTCAATACAAATGAGCTCTTATCAGAGTAGGTAATTTACTTAGGAGGAAATGTCATGGTGATCTTTCCAGCAAGGTTCTGAGAAAGCTACGGCATGGTCATGAGCCTAAAGGCCAAAGTTTGATGCAGAAAGGCTGAAAGCACACAGGGTGAGGACCAGGACCTTAAGGTGAATTTGGGCTGTGATGAGGTACCTGCAGAAGGTATAGAGAGGACTGATGCGTGTGGACCAAAGGACCCCAAGGCCGCCAGCAGTGTGGCGTTTGGGCTGGAGCAGGGAACACTACACACTAGGGCTGGGTCATAGCTAAAAGAATGTCATATTTTAACATTAAAATATGCACGAAAAACACAGATAATCTACCAAATAGCTGGTGTTAAAACTTGCCAGCCGAGGGGGGCTGGGGGGGAATTGCTGATCATCGTTTTTTTTAGTCTCTTTGGAAAATAGACAATCAGCAGGCTGGATTTAATTATGATTTAAAAACATGTCATGGACTATCTAAAGAAGGTGGTTCACAAACCTCTGTTAAGCCATAGCTAGAAACCACCATTATAATCAGCGTTTATAGTACATACACTGTTACCATAATAATATCAATGTATGCTTTTGTTTGTTTCTTTTTTTTTAAGTGTCGGAAATGTTGGCCAAATGACTGAACTAAAAGCGAATTCATAAATCTTTCTCTTGCTTTTTGTGTAGCCTACTCTCCCGACATCAACAACAATCAGTGGTTAATCACTGTCAGATTGCGACACTGGGTTACTTATGACATCACCTTGTCGCCCAGCACTACTGCGCCACCTGACATTCAAACTCAGGCAGAGAAGAAACAAGTTCATACTTTTGCTTACAATTTTGATACAATATATACAATCCAATAAGTAAAAAGACTTTTCTAAAACTACTCAACAGATTTTTAGATACATGTTCCACCACCATTTAGATTATGTACTCCTGCTGTGTAAACGCAAACAGCAGCAAACAAAGCGAAACACTCTAGCTCACCGTTTGCTTAAACTGCCTATTCAGTCGTACAAAGAGAACATCTTCGAGGGCATCATTACTCATGCTAGGTCTGAGAGACAGGATATATCTGAGGCCTGAGACTGTACGCTGCACACTAACTTGTGTGACCGGTAGAGGAATTACATTAATGGCCAGTCTATACAAGTCAGGGTTGATCATAGAGGTATTCAACCAATATCTGAAGATATTTTCCTCCCTCTTCAGCCTTTCTTGACTTGCATATGCATCGAGAGATGACATCACTGACGTTTTACACTTCATACCCTCGCTGCCAGTCTCGCGCTCCCTTGCCACAAGCATCTGCTCAATTTCATCATCTGCATCACTAGTGCCAGGTTTCTTCAGTAAATGCGTGGGAGGTGCCAGCTGTGTGTTTGGTGTGAGAGTCTGGATCATCCCCCAGGCTTGGCACAGGTGCCTTTTGGCCTGTTCAACCTGAGCTTCAGTCAGAAGAACTTTATACCTGGGATCCAGGAACACGGCAGCCAGAAATGCTTCATTTTCAAACAGCATGTGCTGGCATCGGTTTAAACACTCTACTAGCAGGGCTGAGAAAGGGCCACCTATCTTGTCAGTTTCTATTTTACATTTGAGCCAAGCACCAAAGAAGTCACCGGCAGTCATCTGATCCAACAAGAGAAGTTTTGTTGTCATTTTTGCAGGCTGCAGAGTCCAAACCAGCTGATTAATCTCATCCCATTCGGATTCGTTTAAGTACAGCTCTGGAATAGTGGGAGCCATGTCTTCACAGAAGGTTTTCAAGAGGCAAAGTCGCTCAAGCATGTCAAAAGTCGAAAGCCATCGGTTAGGATGGTCGACCACCGCCTGTGTGTGACCCAGTCTCCTCAGAAACCCCGACACATTTGCGGTGCATAATTTCTCGCAAACGTGTCTTGCCTTGGCAATTAAGTTAGATGTGTTTCTGTCTTTTAAAGCATCCTCAACAGCCAACTGGAAGGTATGAGCAGAACATCTGCGGCCTTTCAGAACTGGACCCCCATTCCCAACACTGTGGAGTTCTCCATTCACGTTCCCTGACGTCTCATAGATGTCCAAAGTGAGGAAATCATTGCTCTTTTCTGAAGCCTGTCCACCACTTCCATCTATGACAGTCTCACCTGCATGTTTTTGTTCATCTCTATCAACTCCATCAAGCTCTGCCTCTTTATCACTATCTTCTGACACCAGGCACTCTACATCTAGCAATGTTCCACCATCATCAATAGTGATGGAATAAACCTGTTTTAAATCAATAGCATATATCTTCAGGACTTCGCGCACAACTGCAGATAGATAACGGTCAGTGTGTGTTTCATGGAGTTCCCTAACAGCCAGTGTTAGGAGCACAATATGCTCACCTTCAGTGTACTGGACATTAATACCAAGGACTGATCGGTTTTTGTACGTGGCAATGTCCACCTTTAGCATTAAAAGTTTGTCCTTGAGCCCATTTCGTAGCTTTTCACGGTCCCTTTCGGCCACTTCTGATACCATAGTACGAACGGTTTCACTATTTATTATGACAGTCTTGTCTATAGCCTCAAGCAATGGATCTATTATCCTTCTAAATCCTGAATCATCCATCAAAGAGAAGGGTCGGCCATTGACAGTAATGAGCTCAACACAAGCTTCTCTGAGGGAGTCTGGTGTGATATAGACAGCTTCACACCGTGGTTGTTTTGCAACAAGACAGTCCATTGTCCCCTGATTCTCCATGTTGGAAACTGGCCTCTTGTAGGCTGAAGCTGATGCCGTGGAAGGGTCTTCAACTCGTGTGGATGTATGGAGTGTGGCAAAAACAGAAGGGTGCATCCTCTGGACGTGCCGCTGCAAATTGCCACCATGGTTACCCGCAATCTCAGCTAAGCATCCTTCAATCTGGCAGCGGGACTTGTTGGAAATGGGATCATATGAAAAGTAGAGTCGCACGGGATTCTCCTGATGCCGACCCATGCTACAGCTGAAAGAAAACAGCAAAGTAGAGTTCTTTGCATTACAATGCAAATATAAAAAAGTTAACAGCCAATACTTATTCTAGATACTGGTATTATACCCCACTACATCCATTCATCAATGCAGCTCAGCAGGTTAGGACACTATGTCTGTCATCAGAAGGTCACTAGTACAAATCCTGTGGTTGGCAGAGTGTGGTCACCGTTGGGCCCTTAAGAGACTGACTGACCCTGCATTCTCAACTGAATGTTGCTATGGATTAAAGCAGGGCTGCACAATTATGGTAAAAATCATAATTACGATTAGCACCCTAATAGACGGCAAGGTGCCGCTTTTATGATAAACATATTTTAGCGTTATATTAGCCGATCACCTAGTTACGTATGGATTAAGTCACTTATTACGCTTCGAAGCAGTACACATGGCCAGCTACAAAAAACATTACGGTATTTTATTGATTGAGCAGTAATGTATTTGAGAAACGTCTCAGATTTAGCTCGTTTATTTTTGTTTCCATTCTTAATACATTTTACGTTTTTTTTCGTTTGTTTCTGTTCTTTTAACCATTTGTGCCCCGCAAATAATAGTTTGTAACTAGAGCTAGAGCATTAGACGCCTGCAAAAAATAATCTAAAAATATAGAGATAAAAAGAAATGTATACCAACGGGGAATTTATCATTTCTTGCTTATTTGATATCTCTGTTGCTTAACTTTTCACTCACCTGTGAACGTTCGGCAGTTACAGCGTGTGCACAACACAAAGTGGGAACGCGCCTATTGGCCAGTAGGAAGCAGGAAGTGGAATGGAAACACAATTCACCACACGTCAAATGTGTCTGTTTAGCAGTTTTTTTAAATCAAATTATACAGAGGGTTATATAAAGTTGACAATGTTGGCATTTACATATTTAACATTACCTAACAAAGCGGTTTGCATATAGTATTATTTTCAATATGTGGATTTATTTGTATATGAACAATAAAGTTTGTTCAATTTCACTGACGTAATACGCATCCGCAGACGCCGCTGTCAGGTCCCTCCAGGTCTACGCATGCGCAGAACAATTCGCCACTCTCGGGTCTCGACATTGAGTTGCGTTGAGTCTGAAGCCGTATGTAACTGCATGACACTGGAAGCGTGAAAAAAATATCCTGTGTATGTAAATGCAATCATATCTACACTTTGCTTTAAAGAGCATAACACTAATCCATTACATTTCTAGAGTTACTGATATGTACGATAAATGCTAATGTGTGTTTGTCTATATAGACATGCCCATAAATAGAGAAATGAATTAAACTGAAAATTTCACTGTAGTCTCATTTTTTTCCCCAGAACTGTGTAAGTCCTCCAACGTACTAGAATATTTGAGGGTTGGTGGCTGGAAATGGAAAAAACACACTGGTCCATTCGGGCTAGTGTGGTGCAGTGGTATCACCCATTGCATAGCTGCATTCATGTTCTCATCCCTGAGGTGGTTCGCAGTGTTTTAGGTGTTTGCACTGTAATCAACATGCACCCCTTTACCTACACCCTGGCTCTTACCTGGTTCTCATTGATGAAGGGCTTCTTTTTACTTTATGGGTCTTCAGTCCTATATCTAGGTGCCGTTTAACTGTCCTAGCAGTGCACTTCACATGGCACTTAATGCTTTCCATTCTTTTTGAAGGTCACTTGAGGTCATCCTCCAATTTACAAGGCACTATCAGTTAAGTTGATGGTCATCTGTGGCATTAGAAAGTCGCGTCTGCCCTCTACCTGGCTGGTTTTTGGTCATTCCCAGTGTCTCCTGCTTCACCTTGTTCTTGTGTATTGCTGTCTTAGAAACTTTGAGCCTGGACACACAATGACCATCAGAGTGATCTCTTTTTCCAGAGCTGTGTGTGTGTGTGTGAGAGAGAGAGATACAGAAATCATAGAACACATTTGTAAATTCTGGGATGATTTAAGCCAGGGGTGGGAAACCTGATCCATGGAGGGCCGGTGTGGGTTTTTGGGATGGCCTCTCAATCAGCCAGTAATAAAGCAGTGGTTCTCAACTCCAGTCCTGGGGACCTTCTGTTATTGGTTGATTGAGAGGTCATCCCAAAAACCTGCACCAGCCCTCCATGGATCAGGTTCCCCACCCCTGATTTAAGCAATTAGGTATCCAATATAAATGTACCACTGTACACTTTGTACTACAGCTCTTGAAGCACTTTATTTTTAACTTGATGGGCAAATTACAAGTTCAGAAATATACTCAATCCTGCCCAGGTCTTTTTCATATGAATTTCAGTATTTTGATCTACAGCATTGGCTGCATACTACTGAACATTAATTTTTTTCCCCAAGATGAACTGTCAGCCAAATTTCGCTGCATAGTTTGTCATATGTCAAGAAGTCTTTTCCCAGAATTCTAATAAATTCACTGAGTCAGGAAAAGTGGTATTAGAATCAGAAATCAGAATCAGCTTTATTCGAGAATATGGAATATGAGAATATGGCTGTGAATTTACTGCCTTTAAGAGCTGCTGCAATGGTGTCATGCTGGGCTTATCATTGATAAACCACAATAACGTATTATTCTCACATATTAACTTTCAGTTATCCACAACAATTCAGGATTAAAAAGCACCTACATATTTAGCCAAAACAAGACCGGCATATGTAAAATGCTTCCTCGATCAGCCAACATTCTCATCACTATTGATATAAAACCATCACTATTTCCCACCCTCCTAAAATAATTTGTGAATTGTGAAATTCAACTTTTATAAAGAAGTAAATGTTACATAACTACTTCACAATGACATCTTTGTGATTTATGTACACATTCATATTCTGTTGTAGTCTAAAATAACCAAAACAACTTTTTTTTTTAATTCTGGTGTAGTACCTTTTATTTTATACAAAAATATGCAAGCAACCTTGAAAGTGTTAACTAAACACGCAAAAAACAATTGTAATGTGTGCACCTATTCTGCAATTTCCAGAACATTTTAATCCACCACACTGTATACTTTGTGAAAACTTTCAAAATAAATGGAATGGCATTGTTTCAGACATAGAGAACTGCAATGGACTTAACGGGTGGCAACCTTTTCTGCAATCTCTGATACAGAATGAAATCTCTACCAGAAGCCACACTCCGGTGGGGGGGGGGGTGCTGTTACATTTCTCATCCGGATCTCCTAAGACTGACATGTATAAATCCATTTTTGTTCAGTTACATCAACTTCACAGCTACAAAACAATATTATTTCCAATCATACCAACATTAAAAATGTCTATGTCAAAATACAAAATATTTTACTATCATTATATATTCAGGTACAAGGTGACAGTTAATGTCACTATCATGGATACACTGTTTCTTCAAAGCTTAAAATGCATTTATATATACACACACACTTAAAAAATCCTAGTCTACTTCTGGAATGATGCTTAACATACTATGACGGGAAGATTTTGTTTGTTGTACAAAACACTTATACTTCCTAAGGAAGAATCAATTCAGTTTGAAGGTCTGCATGATATACAATAACACAAAAAGGAGAAGATACAGAAGGCAAGTCAACTATAGAGAACAGTTTAGCAAGACACACTGAGGGATAACTTTCATTGATGGGTGTCTGGCCCTGCAATTCTTAAGGACCCCCACATGCATGGACAACCAACGGCAGATTGACGCACGTAATACCTCAATCACTTAAATTTTCAATTTACATGAGGTCAATTTAATTAAATTGAGATTTTTAAAACTATGTAATGCTATCAACATGCTATCAGGAATTCTGGGAAATAAATTGTGAAAGACATGTTAGAATTTGGACAAGACTTCAGCCAAACGGAATCCCAGTAATTTGTAAACAAAGCAGCATTCTGCCTGCACAACCAACTAACAATTAGGTGAAATCCCAATCAGATATTTGTTTTTTCTAAAATCAGTCTGACTTCATAAACACAGAATAAATTTACCAACATTTAACATATATGCACATTTTACACATTAAAAAGCCTACTGTTCAAACTGTTAGGTATATAAAAGTATTTACTTGAGGGTTGTCATTGTACTGGAGCATAAAACAGTTTTGTGTGCCAACAATTTTACTACCATCCAAGGTTCTTCTGAAGTCTGTCTGGTCTTCCACATTCTGTGCTGTTTTTTAGCTGGGAGGATAGTACTGATTGTAGTTCCAAGGATTCTGGTAGCCATAGGCGCCATATTGCTGATGCTAAAAGGGGACAGGGAACAGGGGTAAGTGTGCGAGAGAAAGAGAGGACAAGCACTGAAAAGGCCATTCAACCAAAAATGATGTTTCGCTTTAAAAAAAAAAAAAGCACCAAAACACTGAGAAAAGCTGTCTAGCTTCAGTACCTGATACCAGCCTCCGTATCCGTAGTGAGAGCCGCTCATATCACCACCCATCATTGGTGGAGGCGGTGTTGCCATGGCAACGGGAGGCATTGGAGGTGTGGCCATGGAAGGTGCTGGCACGCTCTCTTCTAGTTTGCTCATCTTCTCAGGGTCATCGTTGTCCCTAGAAGGGGTCACACAAATTGTAATTCAATGTTAAAAAAAATAATAATTAATGGTCGGTCCATCCATGTTCTGTAATTAGCATTAGCATGGTTTTTTGGACTGCGAGGGGAGACCAGAGTACCTGGAGGAAACCCCATAACCAACCGACAGGGGCAAAATCAGAATCTGAGAGGAGGAAGGGCACTGTCAGGTACGGAGTGGGGTGGGGGGGGTGGCTTAACAATGCAGCATGTTCATTTGTCATTATGCTGTTTGATCACTTTAAAGCATTACAAAAACTAAAGAACTGTGGTTAACAAATTATTTGTATTTAATAGTGTTTCACGATTTAATGTTGAAGGAGGCGGAGCTGCGCTCCAGCAAGGTGCGATTCGGACATGAGGAGGCGGAGCTGCGCTCCAGCAAGGTGCGATTCGGACATGAGGAGGCGGAGCTGCGCTCCAGCAAGGTGCGATTGGGACATGAGGAGGCGGAGCTGTGCACCGCCATGTTTAAAGCCTGCTAGCCCATGCTTACCCATTCTCAGCACCTCGCTTTTTGCTGCCAAGTTCTTTCAGCAGCTTCTGATGCTCGTCGTACACAGTCAGGACGCTGGTAGAGAGGAGAGACACAGTCACCTTCGAGGTACAGTAAGACAAACCCGAGCGCCCTGCAAGGCCCAGCGCCCGCTGACCTCTGCACCGTGGCCCCGAAGTCTTCAGCGAATTGCAGGCCACGCTGGGAGAAGAGCAGCTTGGTGTGAGGAGACAGAGGGGCCGCCAAGGCTCGGCTGACACACTGCTGCACCCCGATCCCGTTCCCTCGGGGGTCTCCCGCCACCTCCAGCTCTAGGAGATTCAGGTGCAGCTTGCTGTTGTCCTGGGGGGGGGGGGGGGGGAGGGGGGGGGGCAGAAAAAAATTAGGGGAGCAGTGAAAGAGGAACAACTAGCACAATTAAAGGAATGAAGCAGGGATGCAGAAAGAAAAACCTTCGTCGGAAAACTAAAATGTACAGATGATCCTCAACTTACGATGGGGATACATTCCAATGAACCCATCATGAAGTGAGAAATATGCAGGTAAAATGTGAATATATGATGTGTCACACTTGGGTGTTTAGTAGACACAACGGTCTTGGGGAAAAAGTAGTTAAACACAGAAGTTACACTGTTAAACACGGTGTGATGTTTACGTTTGTGAGTCTGCAGAGACTGGAGGCGTGTCTGGGTGGATGTTACCATCGGCTGCCAATAGTAGAATTTATCATACAGCACATCGTTGGCTGCGGAACAAATCAAAATTCAAAGTTTGTTAACGTGCAAA